TCCTCAACCTCCCGATCAGAGAGATATCGACGGAATTGGACCAAAATAAAATTAAAAAAAATCAGGTGGATGTCTGATTTTCTGTTGTTTTGTTGATGATGGTGTGACATGCTATGATCAGAGGTCAGCATCCCCGGGGACAAAGACAAAGAAGAAGTGTAAGGCAGGGGCGAAAAACAGGAGCAGTAGCGATGAAGAAACCTTTGATTCCGCGTCAGAGTCGGACAGTGGTAATGGTTCAAGGAGGAAGAAGTCAAACAGCAGGCATCAGAGGAGAGGAAAGAGGAGAGAGAGGAAGCACAAGGAGCGGGCGAGGAGTACAACCGACAGCCACCTATCAGATAGTGATGAAACAGACTCGAGCAATTCGTCTGGCGGCAAAAAGTTCGTTCAGGATGGCTTGGAGAGTGAGAGAAAGCGAAGGGATGGGAATGAGGACAGGGGCCACAAGGCAAAGAATGATGAGATGGGGGGGAGTAAAGGTGATAAGCAAGTGAGAAAGAGGAGCAGAAGTCGGAGCAGAGCGAGAAGATCGGCGGAATATGACGTGAGGATAGGTGGCAACAGCACTCAGCTAGGACGTTCTGGCGATGATGGTGTTCTGGTACAGAAGGAGCAGAAGAGAAGCAAAAGTGAGACGGCGGAGGGTCATGCTGTGAGGAAAATAAGCGAGACGGAATTTGTGGGTGGATTAGGTGGGAGAAAGTGCGGAACTGGGGGTGGCGATAAACGATGTGATAATACTGCGGACATGGGAAAACAAAGCAGGTGCAAGGGTTCGTATGGTGGGGATCATGAGGAGAAGGATCGAAGCAAAGAGGCGAAGAGGGATGGAATAGGGGGGGATAAGTCTGGCGGCCAAGGGAGAGAGGAGAGAGTTGGGGAGGAGAGGTGGAATGGTGGAAGGCAGAGGGACAGCAGGCAGAGGGAGGACAGGCAGAGGGAGGAAAGGTTGAAGGATGAAAGGTGGAGGGAGGAAAGGGTGAGTTGGGAGCAGCAGAGGGAGAGGAGGCATAGAGAGGAGAGGAGGAGAGAGGAGATGCGTAGAGAGGAGAGAGGGAGGGAGGAGAGGTGGAGGGACAAGAGGGGCGAAGAGACGTGGAGGGAAGAGTTGTCACCTTTGGAAAGGCGGAGGGAGAAGAGATGGAGAGAGGAGGGTAGGAGGAGAGAGGATGCCGGGGCAGAGGACAGTAGGAGGGAGAGTAGTGGGAGGCGGGAGAAGGGAATGGCTGAGAGGCGAAGGGACAAGAGACCGAGGGAAGAAAAGCGGAGGGATGACAGGTGTTGGGAGGAATTGGATGAGAAGAACATGGCCGACGAGGAACTGAAGGCGAATCTGACGGAGATCCAACTCAGGCAAAAGGCGCTTGCGAATTTGATACAGCATTTTGACGGTCCGCACGGAGGCGGAGCCAGGGAGGAAGAATCGGGGAAAGAAGAGAAAATAAGTGAATCGCGCGTAGCTGGCAACAAGGAGGAAGGTCTCGGGCTCAAAGTCGATGAGGAGAGGCAGGATGTGAAGGAGGAGGAGGGAAGGAGCTTTGCTGAGGAAGAGGGAGAAGATGGGAAAGAAGGGGAGGAGGAGGAGGAGCAGGAGGAGGACATGGGTGGTAGGCAAGATAGGTTGGTAGCTAAGGGGCAACCAATGAAGGAAGGAGGCTTGTGTGGGAGAGAAAGTGAAGGTGGTCTTCGTCACGAATTTTTGCATGTGCACGCTGTCGATGAAGCACACCAGGAGGCGCAAGGGATGGCGGCAGTGGAGGATGAGGTGAGAGCATCAAAGAAACAGAGGGTCTTGAGCTCATGCGCACATACACGGGAAGCCCCGGGGCGTCCAAGGAGAAAGGAAGAGGAAATAAGGACAAGCAGCACGACTTCTTTACCTGCGGCGTTCTGTGTGGACCCTGCGAGTACTGTCGGCATATCTCATCAGCTGAGAAGAAGAGGGATGCTCGTTAATGAGGAAGAAGGAACACGGCAGAACCGTGCTGAAATGAGCGAGGGTGAAAGGGAGCACACAATGCGAAGGGATGCTGGGGGGAAGGGGGGACGCACCACCAGTGTGTCAGCGGCAACGAAGGTGGAATGCCATAGTGTCGGCGAATACGAGGATGATGAGCGTCAGCTGGACAAGTGTGATCAGGTGAAAAGGAGAAAGGTTCTCGCCAAGAAAGGAGGAGATGGTGGCCCAAGGCAGGACGGCCGAGATGAACATGTCATGTTGCAACGTATGGTGCAAAGGCAGGAGGAGGAGAAGGGAAGTACTGTGGCTGTGAAACATGGTGCCCAAGACTGTTCTCTGGAGAATGTGTCACATGGGGTTGCAGAGATGAATGCAGTGGAGGATAGCCGAACAGAGAGAAGCAAGGATGGCCACAAGCTCCGGTCGGTGGTTGATCGCGTGCCTCGATCACAAGATGCCGAGGGAATGGAGGCAGGGCAACAGCGATGCGCAGGCACTATTGGTGGAGGCCAGTGCACTGTGGTCGGATCGGAAAATGCGAAAGGGCGAGAGGCTGTGCGCTTCCAGGAGAAAGGAAGTGGGAAGAGACAGAGCCAACCAGAGGAAAAGGAGGCAAGGCGGCAAATGAAATCCGAAGTGTGGGGCGTAGAATTTGGAGATCAGCAGAGGAAAGAGGATGGGGCCAGAAACTCGGATGAGCTAGAGTCCGGGGAGGTAGACGTATATGCTGCACCAGAACTCTCCGTCGGGAGTCGTTGGAAGCATGAGAAAGGCCAGGAAGCAAACGGGCTGTTGGGAGAATTCGCAGCTGGGAAAGGATTGGAGGTGTCGAAGAAAGAAAAGAGAAGAAGGGAGGGACGGTCAGGTAACGAAGTCGAGGAGCGAGGTAAGGGGAGCGAGAAGAATGCTAGGAAGAAGAGCAGGAGAAGTACGACGAGTGACGTTCACGATGATCGAGAAAACAGTGAGAATGGTGGGATGAATACGAGCACATCTCAAATCATGATGAGAAGAGAGGGAGGGATTAAATGTGCTAGCGCGAAAGGGGCAGCCGTGACGTTGACTGAAGATGCACAAGTGAGAGGTAAAGATGACCATAGAATGTCAGCGAATTTGTTGAAAGACGAGAAGAGAGAAAGCGAGTATTCAGGATGTGATTCACACTCGAAAGATGGGGAGGATGTGAGGATTACAAAGGTAGCTGAGAGGGTGTCGAACGACGAAGACCTTGAAGAAGCGGACCGCCATAAGCAGCACCCCCACCACCATCATGGTCACCATCAGCAGCACCGCCATCGTCACCGCCATCATCGTGATCCTAAGCATTCGCAGAAGAGGTCTGATTCCGTTAAGCAGGGGATAAAAAGAGAGGAGGAAGCCTGCGAGGGTAGGCCCTCGCAGGAGGTGAGAAGTGGAGGGGATAGAGCGGAGGGAGGTGGAACACTTGGGGGTGAAGTCGGATACGGCGGAAAGACGGTCATCGGTGGCGAGAAGGCAAGGCGAAAGCGAGGGGGATCGGGGCACGGAGACGTTGGTAAGGGTAGTTGTGAAATTCAGGGTATACCTGAGGGTATGCCTGGGAATGATGAGCCTGGGGTAAGTGGCTGCAAGGAGGACAGCGGACAGCGGGGTGAAAAAGCTATGAAACCGACCTCACTTTCTATTCAGGGAAAGCTGAGAAGTGATGCGAGGGGAGTGCGAGAGGAGATCAAACTCGCAAAACGGAGCAATGATAGAGACGTGCTCAGAGTCACTAGTAGTCCCCGACTGCGTGGTATGCATAATGTGAATGTCCAGAGGGAGAGTGGTGGCGATGCGGAGAAAGATCGCAAAGACAAGCTTTCGAAGCGAAGTTGCGAGGCCCGACAGGGTATGGAGGAGGAGGAGGGTGAACAGAAGAGAGACGGCGGTGGTCGATCTTCGGTCGACGAGTACGCAAAAATCCGCAGTTGTACGAGTGCCATGGATGAGCTGAAATATGGGCAATCTACGTTACATCGTCGAGAATTTAAAAGCGGCGAGAGGAATCGCGGAGAGCAATCGGCTTCGAGATCTGCGCACGGGCGACACGTTAGCGTAGAAGTGCAAACGAGACGGGGAAAGAATGACAAAGAGGAAAGAGTAAGCAGCAAGGGCGCAGAGGCGGTTGCTGCTACATGTGAGGGTGCTATGGAACGCGATCGTGACGACTCCAAGGACTTTGGGTTGAGGGATGCACCGTCGGTTCCTCCTCCTGAGTGCACTCCTGAAGCTCTAGCTATGGCAGCGAAAGGGTTGAAGAAGAAGGGTCCGGATCCCAGTTGCGATCTAGATTTGGCGTCGCGGGGCACTCTGCAGGACCGTAAGCAGTTGCTCGACACTGCAGGTGCAGTCGTTGGGAGAACACGTGGCGAAAAGAAGCTGATAGGTGGGAAAAGTGAAAGAAAGAGGAGCTCAAAAGAGGACCCATCAGAAGAGGACGGTGGGCTTCAGCGCAAAACAACCACCGTTACGTGCCATGGGGAGCAAGTTGAGGTGAGTTACTTGTTGTGACGTCAACAAATAAAGCATTCCATGTTAATGTCAACCTAGGCTATCAGCATGGCCTGGGACCACTTGCCCGGCTGGGCCATTCTCTCAATTTCACCTTTCACTATCTACCTACCACTACAAACTGTTTTGTATGACAATATATATATATCTATTTGACGATATATACAATATATATGATATATATATATATAACTCCGACGAAACAGTTTGTCACAGCCCCTCGTTTGTTGTTCTCTTCTCTCTCTCTGCCTACGGTTTACCGGGCAGTTCTGTTTGTGACGAAACTCCGACGAAACAGTTTGTCACAGCCCCTCGTTTGTTGTCGTCTTCTCCCTCTCTGCCTACAGCTTACCGGGCAGCTCTGTTATATATATATTTATATATATAGGCTGCCTTCTCCTCATCAGGGAACAGCCATATATTGTTCTGCCGTTACCTTTCTCTCCACCTAGAGAGATAACCTGCCTTCACCGAAGAGAGGTAGAAAGCTATGCTTGCAGGGGCCCCCTGTATAGCCATAGGAGTAGTGGTGGGTAGGTTCTGAAAAGAAAGATATGTTCCATGATGGCATGGCAGAACCCCAGTTAAAAAATATGTGAGGTGAAGAGAAAAATATATGGCTGTCCCCCACTGTCAATATTTGTCAAGTAACAGAACGCATTAAACCACCAGTACTTGGCCCATACATCAGCCGTGGGGCCTTCCCGTATACGCGCCGCAGTCTAAGGGGGTCGGCCAAGGGAACGTCCAGTCGTTGCTGAATGGCCGGGCCCCGGTTCACTCGGCATGACACCAAAAAATAAAAGAACAAAGAAAGAAAGAAAAAAAGATTCAAATACAC